TCAATTTTATCACCTGAGTCATTTTATTTCCTCCACGTATGGATACAAAAAAGAACGTAAAGAGAACATCAGTTGTATCAGTTTCTCATAGTCGAGTGTCAAAGAATATGTACAGGCTGTGTCTGATGGGCATGTTATGAACGAACAGTCGCACGACAATGTCAATCGAATAGTACATCGCCATCTGAATTGCTGTAGCTGTCCTCATCGTCGAGATTTTTGCTCTTTATATTCATATTAGATTCCGAACCTTACACATGAAAACAGAAAAAGTCCAGAAGATGTCTTAGGCAGGTCTCCAGGGAGCGCCGACCGAAGGGAGGTGTGAGCATTGTTTTGAATTCATAAATATGTTTAGACCTGTACAGATTTTTGATTTATATATTTATATCAGATTACGAACCTTATACATAAAAAAAGAAAAGCAATTCAGAAGATGCCTTAGTTAGGGCCCCGGCGAGCGCCGACCGAAGGGAGGCGAAAGCATTGTGTTTGATTTATAAGTCACCAAAGGGCGTTCGCTTGCGCAGATCCAACTTAATAAAGTCAAGGGACCGAGCGACTGGAGACGAGCGTTACCTTGTTCGTTATAGCAGGAATATATGAATTAAAATAAACTAGCTTTAACAAATGTTTCATAACGAATAAAGTGCCACTCTTGGATTTGTCGAACTTGGTTGAGTGTTTCAGAAACAAAGAAAACGGAAAGTTTTTCGTTTAACCAAAATTTTAAAATTTGTCCACGTGGCCACAGTAAAACAACGGCTAATACATTCATGCTAGTATTTATATTTAGTTTTTGTTAAATCTCTCCTATAACTAGTAGGTCTTCCATGGAGATGATATCGAAGAAAAGATGGAGCCATTCTTTATAAATGGTTGGTAGTTATCGTGAACCAGTCAGTGTTTTGTCAGGTTTATAGTATGCTTTTCTTTTCTTCGGGTGTAAAGAGTACAAGGTAACGCTCATCTCCGATTCGCTCTGTCCCTTGGCTTTTGTGGTGCTGATAAAGTGAGAATAAAATTGCTGTGCAAGTCTGTGCATGAAAATTACTTTCAGCACACTTTAGTTCGTAGAAGCTTGCAAAATAAGCAATGGCAGTCTTTTGTTTTGTCGTTAACAAGAGATAGCTGAAATTCGTTGGAACTCCGAAAAGCCATTACCATTTCAGTGCATGCTGGCCTCTATCAATGTCTCTCTGTAGTCTTTGACATCAGCTTCGTCTAACGGTTACTGAACGTGTAAATAAGCGTTGTTTGATAGGAAGAAGAAAAGATATTTGAAATTAATATTAAATTTTTGCCGGTCTTATAGAGTAAAACCGAATGTTACCAAAACTACGTAAAACAATTTGATGTTTCCATTGCGATGAGATGTTCATTAAAAAGATCACATTCTGCTGTAAGAAGCATGTTTGCATAACCAAACATACCAACATCAATTCGAGGTAAGAGTAAATCACAGCTATCTACAGCATGAATGTGTTTGAGGGAGAACAAAGCCCAGAAAGAAATTTTGGACCTCTGCAGCTCCTTTTAACCTATTAAAAAGTTCTCATAAATTAGTAAAAATGGACAAAACTAAGCTTTCTGAAGGCTTAGAGTGTGTCAAAAGAAGTTTTTTGGACGCCTGTGGATATTACTTCGCATTAGAAAATCCAAAGGCTTTAAAATGAAGGTTTTTAATGAGTTTAAAGGAGTGCAATGTAATTACGAACGTCTTTATATACATTAAAAAAGTTGTCGAATGCACACAGACAGTGAATATTTGTCATGTCTTTGTATGCGTTCCACATCTTAATGTATGCTTTAATAATGAATGTGTTCGCATATATTAAAAAATGTAAACAAATTATATAAAAACACATTATAGCAAAACAATTGAAAATAAGGAGAAAAGTCTAAAAATCAGAAGATTCGGCAACCCTGATCCTACCATTTTTCTAGAACTAGCAAACACCCTACAGATGATTTTGCTGATAGTGATAACTGAATACTTAATCAAAAACGTATGATTATTATAAAAAAAATTTAATTAAAAACAGTTTGCTGTTACTTGAACACTAACAAAAATTGATTAAACTGCCATATAAGAAAAAGCTGAAACGACGAATGAGATACTTGAAGTACCACACGGATCTTTCTGGATGGATGGTTTTTTTCCTAATAGAAGTATAGAATGAAACACTTGAAGTGCTCCATTTTTGTTGCTAATCAAGTACCTCTTTTCAAATGGCACTTTTTGAGAATGTAGAAGTTCTTTGTTCTTTCGCTGAATGGCCTCGTGTCTAAATTGCACCACTGTTTGTATTTGATTCAATGGCTGAAACAGCTTTTGTAACAAAACCACGATTTTGCAGCATTTCGATACCACAATGAGCATCAGTTTTCAAATGTGTTTGATTATATCGACATAACCTTTTAATATTATTACGATTTCCAACCTCTTGAATAGTCGAATAACCACGTAACTTGAAACTCTTTTGACGTATATACTGGCCTGTTAACAAAAAAGCAATTTATATTTTGTACACAAAGAACTAGTGAGTGTAAGTATCCCTCAGAAAATTAAAACCTTTTCGCTTTAGGATTGAACTGAACTACCTACAAATGTATAGTACAACCTAAAGTTTGAGGAGCACCGCCGTATAATTTAGCATAAGGTTGCATTAAATTCCAGCCAATGAATATGACTACAAGTATAACAATAATGCAGAAAAACACGAACAATATCATCGCTATTATATTATGTTTTCTTTGTCTGTTACTCGATGACACGTGTTGTTTACTTAAGCGATTTATTCCTTCAATTATTGATTTGTTCAGAAGTAAAAGCAAAGCGTTGTTGCTTGCATCATTCTATAGCATAGCATTGTTATTATTTACATTAATGTTAACACGGTTGTCTTGTCTAACGAAATTGAATGACATAAACATTTATCAGAAGTTAACGGTATAAGAATCTACTCTTCTTTTCATCTAAAAGCTTATAAAAAGATCACTTCGACTGCAGGTACGTACTCCAAGATAATACATGTCAAAACTTCAGTAAGCCTATACTCTTAGTCAACTTGATAACTTTTTTTAAAATTATTTCCCTTTTTACTGTTTCTCATATAGTATTATTTACTTTAAGACGAATGTATTGTACATTGGACTGTTCAAGTTTCTACCCAAGTTAAGTTATGTATTAATTGTTCCGAACGATAAATCATCCTTACCGATAAGAATCAATGAAAACGAATTATTTTTAATGAATACTCCAAGAAGCCAATAGAATACTGATTTTTCTGTTTGATGAGTACCTCAGTGGATGAATAGGCTGTATCAGCAGAAAAACAACTTGATTTTCTCAGAAAGAAATGTCAATTATTCACCCGGGACTATTCCTTGACAGTGTTCGACGCTTGTACAAAGATATCACTCGTTAACAATTCAATGGGATAGTTCATCTGGTTTTTCATATAGATAATACAAAATATTATTCATATAAATAATATATAAATATTTTTCATGCAGATAATAGATATAACTCCTTATATAACTTCTTTAACCTTATCTAATTTGTTTGCAT